ACTTATCTGTTTTTGCCTAACCTACGAACAAATATATATACGGACAGAGAAGTCTACTGTGTGTGTTTTTCTCTGAGCCCATGTCACCGGCGACGATGATAGCCTTCATAGAGCGATTTCTTCACGAAAACGACGTGGATTCGATACAAGAATTGGAAGCGAAAGAAGAAGATGATATTTTGGTCCTCTTCAGGGGGATGGAATTACAGGGGACCGTGGAATACGGGTTTCACGGCTCCGCCAGTAAAGACTTCGGCGGCATGCAATCTTCGAAGCCGTTGGCTGTAATTAGGCCGGCCGATAGGGAGGACGTAGCCAAGGTGATAAGGCTAGCGTCAAGGTTAGAACATCTGACCGTCGCCGCCAGGGGCAACGGTCACTCCGTCAACGGGCAGGCCATGGCCCACCGTGGCTTCGTCGTCGACATGAAATCTATGGACCCCATAATTGAGGTCGGCCCCACCGGGACATACGCTGACGTCAGCGGCGGGACATTGTGGGAGGAGGTCTTGAAACGCTGCGTTTTGAGTCACGGCCTGGCCCCACGGTCGTGGACCGATTATCTTGGATTGACGGTGGGCGGGACGCTGTCCAACGCCGGCGTTAGTGGACAGACATTCATCTACGGTCCACAAACGGAGAATGTAACGGAGTTAGAGGTGGTCACCGGAAAAGGCGACGTCACCGTTTGTTCCCGTAGTCAAAATTCAGAACTTTTCTTTAGCGTTCTTGGCGGATTAGGCCAATTTGGCATCATTACTCGGGCTCGGGTATTGCTTCAACCCGCCCCGAATAAGGTTAGTTGAAGATGCTTACGTATATAAGTAATTTATATAAATTTAATTATTGTTAATAATCCGGACATTTCTGGGTTTCTCACATTTGGTGCATAAATGACACAAGAATAAATAATTAATTGGGATTATCAGGTGAGATGGATAAGGGTGGTATACAGTGAGTTCAGCGAGTTCAGTCGAGATGCTGAGTTACTTGTGACTCAGTCGGAGGGTGACTCATTCGACTACGTTGAAGGATTTGTGTTTGTGAACAGTGATGACCCTGTGAATGGGTGGCCGTCCGTGCCGCTGGACGCGAACCATCCATTTGACTCAACCCGTATCCCTCGGAATGCCGGCCCCGTACTTTACTGCCTTGAGGTGGCATTGCATCATACAAAAGAGTCAGACGATCGCCGCTGCACGGTTGGCATAGTAAGTCAATTATTT